CTGTGGAATTCTGGGAGTTGAAGTCCACAAGTCTAAAAAGCTGCCTCACCAGCCATAAAACTCACCACACGTCACTGTGTTTGACCTTGGGTGGGGGCATGGGGCATGACCAGGGGCATGGCCAGCTCAATGTCACTTATGTGAGGGGACGCCTACAAAAGGAGAAACATTTCTCCTTTTGTTTTGTTTTGCTTTTAATTTGTTTTTCTAGCTCTCTGCCAGCAATAAAGGAGCTGGGGGGGGGATGGGCCCCGTTATTGACCGCAACAGCCTCCTGCAGCCCTCTGCCAGTGAAAACAAGCTGAGAAGGCTACGCGAGGTCCTCTGGACTCCGTTTTTGGGCACAGCATCCTCCTACAGTTCTCTGTCAGCAAAAGCAGAGCTCAAGGGACCGGGCCCAATCTTGACAGTCTTTGCAGCCCCCCTGCCAATGAAAACGGAGCTCGGGCAGCCCTTTTTTCTGGCAGAGCCACTGTGGGTCAGTTCTTCAGTCCTTCACTGTTTCTAGATTTAAGCACCACACGGGCCGGATCCATCCTGTGGGCCTTGAGTTTGACACCCCAGCCTAGGTCAGAAGTCTTTTTTTACAGCACTATTAAAAAGAAAGAAAGAAAGAAAGAAAGAAGAAAGAAAGAAAGAAAGAAAGAAAGAAAAAAAGAAAGAACTCAATGCAGTTTCTCAATGAAATAATAACAATAAAAATAATTATAAATATTTCTCTTCCCTCATAATCCAGGGGAAACATCTGAAAATTCCACCCTTCCCTACGTAGAAAACATGGCCCTCTCAACTCTGCAGCACTTCCCAGACTGTCTGCATCCACCTCCAGCCACTATAAAGATTGGACATCTGCAAATTAACTGGAAATTATTGGAATTACCAGGATTATTATTCAGACTTCAGCCAAAAAGTTCGTCTGTCTGTCTGTTTAATTCTCTCAGTATACAAACCACTAAAAACATTTCACTAAGCTTTCTCCATGTTGTAACCCACTACAATTGTATTAATAATCTCTACTTATTATAAACAAATTCTCTCTTTTTTTCTTTTTATTCAAAAATAGTGATTGAAAGTTTAACTGATCAATACAATTAATTACTAATTAATATAATCTCATTGGTGGAAGTATGTCAGGATCATAGAGCTATTTGGATAAGCAGCTGGAAAAAATTATGGGATTTTGTTATTTTTTATGAACAGTTGCAGCAAAACTATTATAAGCATTAAAGTGGAAAGATTTGACTTTATCCAGATTAGAGGGATGGATAGCAAAGATTAAGGAATTTGTTGAGAAGTTCATATTGATAGAGATACTGTATCTAATTAGAGATACTGTAGGCTAGAACATTGTTTAAATTTAAAGATGATTGGAAACATCTTATTGATTTTTTGCAGAAAAATGATATTATGATATATGGTTCTGAGGATTACTAAAAATAATACATTATAGAGAAAATAGAGACAAAGCTGTAACCTAAAAGTAAGAGGTTATTTTAATTTATAACTATAATTGCTGTAAAATAAATCAGAAGTCACTTCTCTATTAGTCTTATTTTACTCTTTGTCTTTGCTCTTTTCTTCTTTCTTCATTCTAAATATTAATTCTTGTTTAGTTTTTATTCTGCATTTTTAAAATATAAATTGTTTTTAAAAAGATCAGAGAGCTATATGAACTTCCTCTTTATATCATCAGATTAGATGAGGAAGAATGGTAGACAATAACGAAAGGACATAGAAAGGAAGGGAAACAATCTTTTTCCAGATCTGTTTCTTTCTCTTTTCTCTTTAATATGTAGCAGCCCAATAATGGGGTCTTATAAGATTATTAAAAACAGATATTCTGTCAGTTCAATATTTATAATGAACATCATCTTAGCATACGCAATATGCTAATGACATACCTACAACATATCCCCAATAATAGCTGCTTTTAGGAAACACATTGTAAAAACATATTTTGCCATGGGTCTTTGGAAGACTCCCTCAAAAGATTGCTTACACTAAAGTGTTTCCAGAAAACCTTGGATAAGTTGATAATCAAGCTAATTTATAGCAGAACAAAGCAACAGAGTCAGATCCATTCACAAGTTTTTAAATAATGGGAATATGAAATCACTGATCTTCAAATCAAAATGTTAGGTCAGCCTCTATACCAGAAGGCAGACAAGTAGCCAATATAATATCATTCTTCAAAAACGATAAGGGTAGAATTTAGAAAACTAAAAAAATGGCTTTAAAAAGGTCCTCAGTAAACATACTAATCATAGGATATATAAATCAAGAGGCTCTTTTCAGGTAACAGATTAAAGAACACAAAGAAATGAATAAATGATTGCCGATTACAGGGAAATGAAAATAAAAGAGCTACAGCAAGGATTTGGATTAGGACTGTTGATTTTAACTTGTGTATAAATTCTTCTTCCTAGCATTATTCCTGCATTATGGCAGGGTCCACTTGCCGTTTCCATTTAGGTCGATCCAAGGGATCTTCAGGGGCGATGCCAGAGGTGGTAGTCTACCAGTTTGGGCCAGTTCGCCCAAACCAGTAGCAGAAATCATGAGTGGCCCCGCTACCCACCCTGGCTCTATAGCATCCCATTTAGGCCCCTTTTTTAGTGAAAAGCGCATGCAGGGGTGGGTTGCTAATCCCGTTCCAACCGGTTCGGTTGGAACGGGGCTGGCGGTGTCCTTGTGCACGCGCGCAGTTCATGCATGTGTCTTAGTGCCTGCGTGAAGCTCCAGCTGCTCGTGGAGACTCACGCAGGCGCTGTATGTGCCATCCAGCTGCTCG